AATTTTGAACTTTTAAAGGCAATTATAACATGATGTTGACCCGGGTCAAACCCGGGTCAATTAAATCATGACCCGACCCGACCCATTCGGGTCAACCCGACCCGTTTCGGAGCTCTAGACTAGATCGACCCAATCATTAACACCAAAGGTACGAAATTAATTATTTCACAATAAAAGCTATTTGTTCGTTTATTTATTGTTGCTTAATATTAATTCATGGTAATACAAATTAGCTTTATTTTCCCTAACTACTACTCAGGATTATGATATTATTTTAGTACAAAGAGCTTTAGAAATATTTAACCAATAACTTAATTACAATATAAAAGAGCTATTGGTTATTAAATTAAGCTAATAATTAACTAAAAAAAGGATTGATTTTAAAAGAATGCCTGATAAATATTGGTGCTTTCAATAGGCTTTTAGATTATATGATAAAACACTAGGAATATTATTGACTTATCAGTATGCCAATACCTTGATTATTTTTTTAAAGAATTATTAGATTCTGATATTTACTGATACCCCATTACCAATTTGGCATCATTTCAACCAATAAAAAGTGAATCAATAGATTATATATAAGCAAAGAAAGGTGAGACCCTAAATTAGCACAAAAAGAATTTTAAATCATGTACAAACATAACAGCTTTTTATTGTATATAATTAATTATATATTTTTAATAAAACAAACATGACTTAGCTGTTTAATCATTTCCTTGCATGTGAATGCTTCCATCCATCAAATATTCATGATTATCATCCAATACATTTGATGTTATAATTGGCATAACAAACAATTGCATCACCTGAGTAATGATAATACCAAGGCCACGCATAAAAATAATGTGTTTCTACCCAGATCTTTAGGTTCACAAAATAAATTATTTTACCTAATGATCAATTGTAGTTCTTTATGAATGATAAATCTGATGTTATTTGCAGGTGTCAGATTTAATTAAATTTTCCTGTCACAAACATGTGGGTCGGGTGCTATTAGCACACCCCATAACCATGGGATTTTTCCTTCACAGGTGAGGGTGCCCAATGTTGGTAGGCTTTGAGCAAAACTTTCCTTATCTTCCTCTCAGACCAGGCTTGGCTGTTACCATGGGCATTGGTCACCTGATAGCTAGTGTTTGCATGATGCTTGCTTTGTGTTATAGTTCTCTCACTAAAATAAAGTTTGTGTCTGCTGTCTATTTTAATCTACATAACAAGTAACTAATTGGGCAAAACCCCATTCAGCCCCTACCTAAAATTATAAATTGGTTAGTATTAAACAGCCTTTCTCTTAACATCAGAGCCTAATTCCAATTTCAGGACCATCAATCCTGTTCTGAATTGTGACCTCCTGTGCTTGAAATAATTTGCAGATTCTTGTTGCTTTGATGGATCTGGATGTATATGCATTCCTAATGTCACAACTCTTCAAAATACAACTTGGTCACATAGCCATCCTTACCTTAGAGTTAGAAACGTTGCAGGCAACTTTCAGCCAGCATGATAACAGCCTCCTCTGGTCTGGGTACAGCGAGAAAGATTAGTGAAAGTGTCAGACAATTGATGCAGTTTTAGTATATTGATTCAGTTTCTACCGTTTCAATACATCCCAGGGCTACTCCCCCCCCTAAAATTTAACAACATCATTGTATCATTGGAGCCACGACATAGTTAGATTAGCCTTTGTACACAAGGAATTTGTAAGAATGACTGTAAAGTGTTCATGGTTGCATGCATGCTTCAATATCTGCTAATCTAGTAATTTCCTGGTAATCAAACATTGCATATTGAAATGTTTCTTCTGCAACAGTCAGTCATGCTGCCTTGACATCTTGTAACTATATATATATATTTATATATATTAATATTGATACTGTTTACACGAAGCAAAATACCAATCATTCATTTATCATCATCAAGAATCTTATAATTTACCCAGCAAGTTCTACTCTGCATTTTGATTCCATTTAAAATATTTATAAACTAAAAGGACACCACGTTATTATTATATCAAGACAAATAAAAAAAAAGTACCTCTTTCATTAGCAGGAGATTCATGTTTTGCCATATCTGAAAAATAAATTGTTTTCCCAAGAAAAAAAATCAATCAATTCATGTCAACAAAAAAAAACCATAAATAATTAACATGTACGTGTTTGTCAATCAAATAACAATTCATAGGCAGAAGTTGGTATATTTGGCTAATTTTCTGTAGATCATTTCTTAAACTTTGTAATTTAATTGGTTCAATTTTATTGGATGATATTAAAATAAAATTCAATTAAAATTCTTATCCCTTAAACGGTCAAAGTATTCTTTAGTAGTACACAAAATAATTTTTTGATCACGATCTTGCATTCTTATTGGCCAATTTAACGATCTGCAAAGTAAAAATAGTCAATCGACCAACTTTTAGGAAGATTTTACGAAAACCACAGGGACAATGACCAAATTTTTATTCACAGGTCAATCAACTGAATCTCAAAGATCATTTTCGTATTAGGAAGTGATACCCTCAGAAAAAATTTTTTATAACAGAAAAAAAATTTCAGCTATCAATAGCCGAAAAACCGTTTAAGGGATAATAGTAATCAAACAAAAAAACTATAGCCGAAGAAGTCACCATATTGTATCATCTCATGGGACTAAAATGCCATCTGCAAATTCTTTAATGTCATCATTACCACCTTCAAGAATAGAATCGGGACCTTCACCTTCAGCATTACTATTCAAATTAATTTGATGTAAACTTTTAGAAGTGATTGAACATGTTTACCAACACCACCCTTAATAAAATCTAAGCAATGTAAGCACTTGGATCCATCTTAGTTAAAACATGTGTTATGATATGCATGGCCACATGGCTGTTTCTTCAGTGATTATAGTTTTAGTAATAAAACAATTAGAAGAATCACAACCATACAAACTAAGCTTATGCGAAGAGCTGTACCCTAAAGGTAGATGACAAAGCCATGCTTCCTTCATCTTCATTGCTGGAATAGGAATACTGTTTTTTACATTAGCACTTCCTTCTCATAGAAACCTGTGTGGGATTAAAAATTGATTTTCCTATGATTAATACAAAGTTTCCTAAAGTCATCATCATTAAATTGAGAATATCCCTACTGCTTGTGAAAAAGTTAAATTATTATTATCTTTACTAGAAGTTTCTGTATAAATTTCTGGCTAATTATGGTGGGACTGTTCTAATGCATTCAATTGCACTTTTTGTTATGATTCCACTATAACAGTTTTAAACAAATTGTATCCCTAGTTGAACATAATTTGGAAAAGGTTTGTTAGTTTGACCTTTGGAAATAACATATTCAGTCACCTTTCTCCAATTGGAGGACTGTTTCTTGCATATAGTGATTGCACATGATCCTGTAATTAAGGTTGCTTGCCAAAACTCCTCCAGAAATCAACCAGCAGGGTTTGGCAGGTTACACATTAATTGTTTATTAGAGTTTTGGCAGAGTTCCTTTTTTGAGGTTTCACCATTTCAGCATAGTTTCAACAGGATTTTTGATAAGATTTAATATAGTTTTGCCATGGTTTCAGCAATTACTAAGGTAGAGGTTGGAATCGACTAAAATAGTTGACTAACTTTTTTTTTAAACAACTAATAGTTGACTACTTTAGTTGTTTATTTAGTTGACTATTTTAGTTGACTATTTAGTCGACTAATACTAATTATTATTATTGTCTGGCCAATTATAAATGAAAACGTCTTTTGTGGTACAAAAAATTTTAATAATAAAAATAAATATGCGGAGTATCAATATTATGAAGAAGATGATAATGGTGGTGTTGGTGCTGGTGTTGGTGATAATTATCCATGCAAAATAATAAACATTGATACAAGGTCAAATCATTCCAACAATTCGTTGGCTTCGAGCTCAAGCAGTGGCTCCAGACCTTTAAAAAAACGAATTATAACATATAGCTTCATATGGAAGTATTTCAAGAAAATTAAAGATTCAAATGGAGATGAATTTGTAATCTGCAAATTAAAAAAATGTTAATAATAATGAAACAGAATGAATATTCTAATTAAATAGGATGTTATTCCCATGACTAGTGCGACCATTTTGCAAAGCAAATGGTTACATGCTAGTATTAAAAAAATTTAGTCGACTAAAAGAAATTTTGACCAACTAGTAGTCGACTAAGGATTTTTTGGATGATTCCAACCTCTATACTAAGGAGGTTTCGCCCACAACCTTATCTGTAATACTACTGGTAAATGGCATTTTTGTCTTCTAAGTATGTCGGGAGTATGTTTTTTTTTCGATTCTTTTGCACAGTGAATGTCAGTATTATTTTAAAGGCTTTTGTGATAATTTTTATTTTTTAAACTATATAAATAATATGCGAATTTGATCAGCAAAATTAGCCAATCAGACGAATTTCTGCCTACGAAATAACAATTCCTTCTTTTTTTTAAAAGAAATACAATAAAAATCCTACTAACAACTCCTTAAAATAGAGATACAAACAATTTATTAAACGGTTCTGAGGGTATAGAATATGCAATTGCATCAGGTGGTTTCCTTTTAGATTATTATAATGGATAATAACCATTTGCTTTTATCTACGTTTGAATATCAGGTGTTTAAATCTTAAATACCTTTTTTGGGCCTGATTTAGTAGGTAATGGTGAAAGGTTGGTTTCATAGTGAACTGATTAGTTTACTAGAGGGCAGTCTCATTGTCTTGCAGCAAATAAAATTACCTCATCGTAAAAAGAAAAAAACAATCTTCTTTTTTTCAATCATGTCTTTTTCAATCATGTCTTTTTCAATCAAAAAAAAGAAGAAAAGAATTTGTTCCCAAGATTGCTAGATAAGTGTTTATTAAAAGAATGGTGGTTGTCGTCATTCTAATTTATATTTCCTTCTTGTCCTAAGTTCGGAAACACCTTTGAGAGACAAATACCGAAAATATGACAAGGGCAAGGAACTGAATAGCAAGTCTAAAAGATTTTATAGATCAATTTTAGATTTTTTCGAGAGGAGATTGTGATGGAACATTTAATTAGAAAGAGGATAAATTGTAAAAGGTTGAGGGAAAATGAGGGGCTTATGAGGAAAAAGCAACTGAGTGGTCATATACAGCTTTTTGTGAACATGCACCAAGAAAAGGTTCATCATCATACACAGAAAATTTCATTAAGATGATGCAGGGTTGGCAAATGTGCGGTCCATTGATGGTCCATTGGTGGTCTATTGGGTCCATTAGTGTAATACTTTAACCATGTTTAGTATTTTATTAATGGCAATGGACCAGTCAGTTTGCCAACCCCGAGATGATGTATTCCAGATGTCTTGAAGATGCACTTCGTAATAACAAAATTAATAATAAACTTTTTTGGAATTACTGGATCGAGCAAGGGTATGTTTACTTCTATGTCATTTTCACAAAATTAGGATGGATATAATTATGAAATATGAAGTGAATAGCTTGTTTTAACATACAATATATTCATTTCACTATGAAGCTTCTTGATTCTCTTGAGAATAAATACCAACAAGAACATGTCAAAAATTTGCAAATACAAAAATATTATAAGTCTAGTCTTCAATCAACCTTATCATCACCTTAACATCATAATAGAATTTTAAAATTCTATTTTCATAAATAGCAATATTTACAATAATATATATTAAAATAATTTCTTTGATGAATGAAGAATAATTGAAGTTTTATGTGCATGAATTTCTTTGATGTTTGGTTCTATATTTTTACATCATAAAGATTTTCTTTATTTAATAATCTTTCATTTTCATTAAAACAATTGGATTCATTTTTATTTAAATAATGGAAAAATAAAATAAAGCGAGTGGGCAAAAAAAAAATGGAAATAACACAAACATTAGATGTTTCACATGATTTTTTTTTAAAAAAAAATTGAAGGTTTGGTTTTTTATTTTATGAAAGTTATTAGATACCAACTTAACTGAATTGATTATTATTTTATTTTATTCTATTGTTATTTTATGATGAAGTCTTTAAATGTTAGTTCTTCTTGATGTAAAAGTTGAGAAGTTCATTCCACAGCTCATTCAACACTTTACGAGTGCATAAATGAAAATTTTACTTGATCATATTTTATATTTCCTAATCCGTTATATGCAAAATGTAAACAACAATTTCGTAAGAGGGTAAAAAGAGACAAGCGAACATATGCTAGCAGTTTGAAAATCAGTGGTTTTTTTAATCATACAAAATTTATTCATGTAAATATGTAAAAAGCACATATTGATTCATATTATAATCAAATAATATAAATATGTGTTTCAGAATGCATTCCTATAATATCAATCTAATTGATGCTAAAAAAAGAATTCATACAAATTATATCTATAAATCTAATTAATAACCATTTTGGTGCTGTCTGCTGTTAATTGAATCTAAAGCTATTAAAAGAACCAATTGGCATGATACCTGATCAGACATCATTATATCTGTGGGAGTTGATGTAATAATAAGATATGCCTTCTTTAAACCATCAGCAACTGACGACAGACTTATAATATTATTATTTTATTAGGCGAATGTGTAGGCACAAAGTAAGCATCATTATGGACTTGTGGGTATAGTATTGGTCATTGTAGGTGTTGAATTATCACTAATTATGCTTTGAAACCTGAAATTTTTGATAGTATAAATATTAATATGTTCATTTGTTATTATTATTATGTTTATTATTATTACATATTATTCATTGTAAATGGTTTTTTGAAAATGGATTAGTAATGATTTGATTTATATGAGATGGATTAAAAAAAAGGGTATGTGTTAAACAATTCCTCTAACTTTATTTAAGAAGATTGATTGATTGATTTTCTTTTTGATCTGTCGAGAGTGTAGAATTGATCTTTGATAGGATATAGCAAAACATTTAATTTAGGAGTGATAACTATACAAGTATTTGATGGTATGGTTAACCAATCCGCCTTCTCAAATGTCAAAGGTTCTAAAATATAAAAAAAGTTGTAAATAAAATTATTCATTTATTTATTTATATAAATATATTATTGATTTACCTGATGCTATTAGTACAATGTCTTCTCTTTTATCGGCTTTAAACTAAATTCACATGCATCATTAATGATTAAATAATTAATCAGTAAAATCTTGCTAGAATATACAAGTGTATATTTGTACCATTTTATAATGTCCAGGCTTATATTCCATAAAACTTGTCCCTACAATATTTATATTGTTGTTATTATTATTATTATTGATTATATGGTTACTGTAATGAGAATAATCAACAGATAAAGTTTACCAGATGAGAAATACAATGAAGCAGCTTCTCTCATCTTACAATTGATGTAGCGAGTACAAACAACAGAACATCCATCTGTCACTGCGAAATTCAACAAGGACGGTTCCTAATATTCATTTAGATGATTATTAAGAATTATATTATCAGATAAACATTTAATATGTGAAACAAAAGAAAAGAATATAATTATTTATACAATAATTCCTTCTTCTTCAGCCCAAATATTTAATTGTTGGATAGTTTTTAACATTGCATTTCTCAGAATTTCATGGTCAAATGGTCCGTTCTTTGGATCTGTTAACTATTTTATTATTAGTAATAATAAATCAATAAGCAGGATTTTAACACCATCTCCTCCAGATTTCAAATACTAACTTGATTTAGAAATAATGCAAAGGCCCATTCTGAATCAGTGTTTCCTTGGACAAATAAAAAAATGTCTTCTTTTAAAGATTGAACTAACTTTCTTTTAATCTATCAATAAAAGATAATATCAAATTGTGTGTTTAATTGAGATAAGCTTAATCCAAGAGTATATTAACTTATTTAGAGTTGATTATTTATACCAAGCTGTAATCAACCAACCAATCAACCAACCAATCAATCAATCAACCAGTTACAAATAAATTACCTTATAGAAATCTTGAATATGACCATTGTGCATCCACATTAAACTTTCATACTGCCATGGATGACCTTCAATTATAATTATAATAATCTATAATTAGCTATACAGTCTGTAACAATAAAGCATGAGAATGGTAAAATTACACACAATTTGTTTCTGATAAAGCACCAGAATTAGAAGCTCTGACATGTGCAAATACTAAATGACTCTTTATTTTTTCAGCTAATCTTGATAAATTCTTGTTGTTCCATGCAGGTGTAACAGATGTAAATATACAAGGTGATTCAATTTGTTCTGACTCTTGATTATGAGCTTCGTACCAACCTTAAGTTGTGATATGATGACAACAATTATTATTATTTTGAATGGAATTGGTGATTTTTTTTGAAAAATTCAAAATTACAAAGTTCTAATTTTACCTACACCAAATCCATCACCTACAAAAAATTAATTATATGGTATTAGTCATGTCTTTATTAAAGTATAAATAAACAATAGTCATCATATAGATTACCTACCGTTAAGCCTTGACTCAATTCTTAACCTTGAGTCAAAAGATTGGTTAATTATAGAATGTGCTGGTCTAGTAATTAACTATATTATTATAAATATAATTTACTTATAATTTATTATTATTTAAAAAAAAATACACAATAATATAAAAACCTACGTGTGCTAATTTAATCGAAGCCCTTCCTTTATAAATTAGAAACCTACACATTATTATTTCAAATTAATAATTTGCTTTATATTTACTGTATTATGTTATATATTCCAAATTTGGAAATCGATTTTTAAAAAAATTGCGCAATCATATTAGACGAAAACATATCAGTAGATAAAGGATCACGTAAAACTATTTAACAAGTATTTTTTGAATCTTTAAATAATAATAATTATTTAAGACAAATTGTTAATATGTTTAATTTAATTGAAAATGAAATTTTTCATTTTTCATTAATATTTACCAGAATCTACGAAATTTTGGGTTAAACACGAATGCAGAACTACAAAAAGTACTAAAAAGTTTGGATCGAAGAGAACGAAGAACTTACGATAGGCCCTCTAATGATGCAAAAGATGGGTTTTTGAGAGCAGTTTATTTAAGAGGAAAAATAGGAGTAAGTTTGCTTAGAAGGCATTCACCATTAGTTATAATTATAAATTTATTTATATAATAAACTAAAATTGTTAGTACTTTCGTCGATCTTTTTTCTATTTAGGTATTTCATACAGATATACTCATCGTTGTTATCATCGCATTGACTGCAACAGTTATTATTATACTATATAAGATATTTAAAAAATATGGAGGAGTAATCAAATATTTTTCTATGATGTTGAATACCATGGTTAATATTACCGTAAACTTCCAAAATATAGCACTCCATTACATTTCCTTTTATAGTTTGTCATGCACAATTTATTATTATTATATTAATCGTCACGAACTTATTATTATAGAAAATTGTTATTTGTCACGAGCTTTTATCTTTGGAACTTTACGATATGCAAGCTTTTGATGCAGTAATTACAACGCCTAGGATTTTATGTTGATAAAATTTATTACATAAAGTTACTTTCTTTAACTCCAATTATCATCGATGGTGGTCTTATCGCTATTTTGTTTGGAGTTTACTTGATTCCACCGGATATAGCAGTAATTTGGTTATTTGTTGGAGTATGCATTTTCAAACTTATTGTTAGTAGATTTATATAACGTGCTGATTTTATTACAATTCTTTGCGAGGATCATGTAGCAACATGTGTATATTTGTATAATGCACATTTAATTAATACCATACAGGTTTATTGTTTGGTCATGATGCGAAACATCGAATCTTTGAATCTTGGTCAAAAAAAGATTTTGAATGAATTTTAGTGCTCATTACTAAAATAAATTTAAATGTAAAAGCAAAGCAAAAGAATTACATCCCATCATATTATTTCCTATATCGTAGCTGTAATATCAGGTATGATAATTCGTCAATATTTTCTAGGTATTATAAAAAATGAATATGAAAACTTTGCTAAAATCAATTAACTTATTATTATTACCTTTTAAAATTATTCAACTTTTTTTTACCATTCATCAATTCTCAAAATGTCCTTTAATTTCAAATAATTAATAAATATAAAAATATAATCTGTCACATTCAATTATCAAATTAAATCACCTAAAAATAAAACAAGGTGAATATGTAATAAAGAATAATATAATGTAAAAATAAAATATAAAACCAACCTCCGAGTGTCCTAAAGTTCAATTTTTGACCAAATTAAATAATCTAAAATATAGCAACAAGTACATAATAAAGAACAATATTATCAATAATTAAGTATAGTCTTTGTCACATTTATTATGACAAAATTTTTGATTTTTGATCAATGTTATGTAAAAATAAAACATAAAAACAATCACATATTCATTCATAACTCCAATGTCCTAAAGTTCAATTTTTGATCAAATTAAATCATCTAAAAATAAAACAACGAGAAATACTCTAATTTAGTTGAGCGATTCTGTAATGTAAAGATTGTAAGTACTGTAAATATTGAAATGTCCGCAAGTATCGCAATTCTGGCGAAAACAATGTTAATAGTTATTTAAATCCTATAATGAATATGAAAATAAAAGATGAAGCAATTCTTCACTAATTGAAAAAATATACGGAAAATAAACTTATAAATATTTCCCAAAAACTTTTATTTTTTACCCATCAAAAAAAATTTCTATACTAATTCAAACAAACATTTCTATATAATTAAATATTTTTATTTACATCGAAAGTAAAATTATGCAAAAACATCATCACGATCTGCATCAATATCTTCTTCTAAAGAGCTAAAATTAATAAAATGTTGTGGCCTAAATTTTATAAAAGTAATTTTTTTTTAATTAGATGATAAATTTTTTTTTCAATAAGTAATATGTATATATATAAGAAACATATACATACCTATGCAATTCATGATAAAATTCCTTTGGTATATCTAGTTTAAGAGAATATTTCATAGTAGGAGAATGTGATGGACCCATAAATGAATAATTCCAGATATCATTCTCTGGGACCATGAAGAATCCCATGAACCGATCTGATAATAACATTTGAACCTTTTCTGCAAATGTAGGCAAGTAACCTAACATATTTGTATAATGGAAAAATTAATAATTAAAAGTTAGCTAGCTAGTTAGTTTTTACCAAAGGTTTAAAACTTGTTTTTTAAAAAAATTACCTGGTGGATTAGGTGAAGTGTCTTTATTATTACGTGCCCATTCGAACCCAGCTGGTGTTAATTTATAAGCAGTCAAAGAACATGATCCTGGTGTAAAACTAACTGTCATTGTTATTGTTTTATCACCATCCCAATTTTTATTTTCTGCCACAAACTTAGCATGTAAAGAGAGTATTGTTGGTGATAATTGTGCAGTTTCAAATGGTTGAGTGACAATAAGACCTAATGGTTCATAATCTTTTAGATACTCATTATCTGGCACCATATTAGGCAAATTGACCGTTTGATGTGTACCATATTGTGGTACTATGACTAGAGCTCTAATTTCTTTAACTTGTGCATTATCACGAGGCGATATTCCATACATATAAGCTGCTATTTGTGTACGAAGATCTGCTATTTGTATAAACCTCTTCAAAACATTCTTTGGTAATACATAAGTATAACCAGTATCTCTTATATCTTCAGCATTGACATAAATATGATTTGTACGTAAATGTAGATTTGTTGACGATATTGCTCTTACACGCCATTCAGTTTTCGATGAAAATGTTTGCTGTTCATAATTACTTGTAGTCGTGACAATCATTTCGTCTCCATGAATATTTTGAGTTTTTGTAGTGACAGCTGTTAGCTGTGATTGTTCTTTGGTTTGTTTTTCAATTTCCGCGATCTGCTGTCTTTGAAGAGATGGTGCAGATATCTCCATACCAAGGATAATGTCACGTATTTCTGATTGAGTTAACGAAGCAACATTCACATTGTTCTTTTTACCATAATCTGCCAGTATCAAATCTTTCAATGCGACTTCAACCTTTATCCATTCTTCATCTGTTAATGTTGGCCAAATATGATGCGGTTCAGTTATGGTATTTTTATCTGGTCTTAAAATCATTTTAGTCTTGTCGGTGTTTACATGTAATGCACGTAAAATAAGAATAAGACGTGAAAATGCTGTATATGAAGAAATGGATTTAAGCCAATCATCAAATAAATTGAAAAGTGTCTAAACAAACATGTAAATTTATTGTTAATAATATTAAAAAATAAAATAATTAATTAGCTATTAAAAATAAATAAATAAACTTACCATTTGAGGCTCAGTTGCCTTAAGAATTAAATCACCAAACTTCTCCAATTTCAAGCATGATTGGAATGGTAATTGAAGTTCACTACCTTTAATTACAATATTTGGGAAATCAAGTAAATGCACCTCTAGAGGATCCAACATTCCTTTTCTAGTGACAATGATTTGTTTAGGCTGTTCTTCAATTGGCAATGATCTGATTAAAGCAGCCACTTCTTCTGCTGTCTTCCATTTTGCAAGTTGTCCAAGACGTTTTTGACCAGCCCATACTGAAGTATGAATAATTTTTAAGAATAATTGTCCAGTTCTTGGATTAAAAATAAATATTGCTCCGTTAATTGGTTTTGTTGTTAAATTTCCTTCAAATGTTTTATGAATTGTGACTCGATAGACATTGGTGTCATCAACAAACCAAATAATTTGATTTGAAAAAAGTTCAGAATAATTTTGTGATGATAAATAAGGTTCAGTGGGTTCGGACGAATATAATTGTAAACCTTTTCTTATACGTTCACGTAAAACATATAATGCTGGATTCGCTTTCATGATTTTTGCCATTGCAGACTGGATCAAAGTCTTGGAACCAGGAATCCAATGTCCATATGCAGAATGTAAATTATATGCTAAATCAATACCAATCATTATACCAAATGGTGATGGATAGATACTCATATTATCTGTTGAATAATCTAAGAACTTGGCTCTGGTATAACGTTCAATCTATAGAAATAAAATGTTATTGGCATAAATAATTTAACTCAAAATAATTTAAATAAAATAAAAATTTAGTATACATACATCATGTGAATCGTAGTCTCCAAATCGAAGTTGAACATCAACAAACCATCGAGAAGTAGTAGTACCATCCATTGTGTCTTTAGTATCATTCAATAGTGATGGTTTAGATACATTCCATTTGTAGGCAGCAAATAATAAAATATCAGCACAAGATGAATTCATTTTGTAGGATTTTCTTGGATGGATACTTTCTTTCTGTACCATATCTATCTGCAAGCTTTCAATTTCACCATCAAATACTTGGCAATTGTGAGATGCTGTAAAATCTCCAAGTAAAAACCGTTGATTACTTCCGGTTACTTGGAAACCGTAATATTCACCAGGTTCTATTTCAATAATGTCAAATTCATACTCTAATGTCGCTACTCTATTCATTACAATGTGTTCCTGCTTGTTTCTGCTGCGATTTATTCTTTTTGATTTAATAATACATGGAATATCTTCTAAACCTTCACCCTTAATATCAATACTAATTACTGCCTGTTCTTGGGTAATATTTGTATCATAAATTATAAATTTCTGCTCTAAATCATCATAGTAGTTACTTTCATTAGGAACCGAATATGTCGTTTCGTACGCAATACATTGGAATCCAACTAAAAACCACGAATTTAAATATTTATTTTTAGGTTATTTGTTAAATAAATTATGATAAAATTACATTAATAAAGTTAATCTTTACCTGATCGCGCAAGATGACGAGCAAGTCGGATTATTGATGCATCCTCTGAATATTTATGTAAATAATAATAATATTTATAAGTATTTTTACTTTGTAATTTGTAACCATCTGCGTCAATAAGACCCGCAAGAACTTGTAATCTAAATGTGAGACTTTGATTGGTTAATTTTGTTAATACATCATCTGAAATCTCTTTGTGTTGATTTTCATAAACTGAAAAATATTTCAAGAGTTGGATGAAAATATTTTTTTGATTTTCAATAGAATTAGATCCCAAAACCTCATACTCATGTATTATTAAATCAAAAAGAATAAATCGCAGCAGAAACAAGCAGGAACACATTGTAATGAATAGAGTAGCGACATTAGAGTATGAATTTGACATTATTGAAATAGAACCTGGTGAATATTACGGTTTCCAAGTAACCGGAAGTAATCAACGGTTTTTACTTGGAGATTTTACAGCATCTCACAATTGCCAAGTATTTGATGGTGAAATTGAAAGCTTGCAGATAGATATGGTACAGAAAGAAAGTATCCATCCAAGAAAATCCTACAAAATGAATTCATCTTGTGCTGATATTTTATTATTTGCTGCCTACAAATGGAATGTATCTAAACCATCACTATTGAATGATACTAAAGACACAATGGATGGTACTACTACTTCTCGATGGTTTGTATTTTACTTTGAAAAGTTTTCCATTGGTGTTGTGAATTAAATTTGTAACAGTTCTTGCCTTTTCATCGTCACCAAGTAATTGATCCCCTTCACAAATTTTTTCGACCTTTTTAAATGAACCATTGGCCATCATTATCTTTGTTCCCGCAGCGAAACACAAATCAAACACGACACTTTCATGAATTTTTTGCCAAAGATGTGCCCTAAAGATTTGAATTAAAGATATTTTCAATGTTGGAATCTTTCCGTGCATGAAAATTCCTGTAAGATCCAATTGTACTTGAAAACCAACATAGACATTTGCACGGTTGATGGTTGGTGACCACCAAAGTGTAAATCTACGATTAGGAATTTGGTTAAGACCCGAACGTTGAGCGTTGGTTAATTTCTTATATTTCATACTTTCTTCAAATCCAGAATTATGTAGGACTAGAAAATCGTCACGTAAGAAACGTTGGTTTCCATCAACTTTGAAACCAAAATATTCTGTAAAATAACTCATTCTCTCAACTCTCTTGATTTCTGTAGTCAATAAATTATCTTGACGTTTAAATTGTTTTTTATCGCCTAATAGACAAAGATCAATTGGCACATTTGTTTTTTCAAATTTGAGTACATCGTTATAAAATAATTTCCAGATTTTTTTGTCAGCAGCATTCCAAGAGTTATATTCCTCCACAGTAACTTCTTTCATTTGACCATAATGAACACCTTTTGCATCTGAATCTGCTTTAAATACAAGAATATGATTTCCGGTTACAACCAATGGTTCGCCCTCATTTAATTCGATTTTATATAAACGATCATATCCATAAGAAAGATCAAGAATTGTGCGAAGCGTGCCATCATCACCCATGAGACAGTCACCAATTTTTAAATATTCGACTTTCACTGTTTGAAATAGACTATTCAGTAGTTTAGTGCCACGTGCAAAACATGCTTTCTCCCAAAACAGACCTTCCCATGTTGAGAAGTATGTGCCTATTTTTAAAAAAAAATTTTAAAAGAGGTATTTTAATATGAAATTACAAAGATCGATTCTCAATTAAAATAGATAAAGTGAATAATCCATAAAAAACCTTTGAAAAGTGTATGTTCTAAAATTCCTTCAACACCACCTAATGCTTGAATCATGTCCGTTCTATAATTGTTAAGCGACCAAAGTTTACCGTCATGTCTTGAATGTGTCCACCAAAATGGGTTGTTTTTGAGTACTTGATACTGTTTAAAGTCTGTTCTGACTCTCCATCCTTTATCATATGCAAGAGTATGCCGATCTTTAGAAAACAATGTATTAATACGTGGCAAGCCTCTGTCCCAACTGTATAAATCATATAAATATTAATTATATTCTTGATAGATTCATACAAATCAATTAACTTGAGAAAATTAACATACCTGTCTTCTAAATCTTCAAGAGTCAATCTTCTATTTTGTGAATTTGCTTCTTGTCTTTTCAAAGCGTATTCACTCCAAACACGTTGTGAATCAATAAATTCTGCTTCCCATGGTTGAAGATATCGGTATAAATTTGGTATTAATTGATCTTCTTCATGACTCATACCAGATCGAAAATGTGTAATTCCAGTTTCAGTTTGCTTAGACCAACGGAGATCAGATTGTGGAATAAGTACATGCCCCATACTAAGCATACCAAGTCCACCCTACAATTTTTTTTTTATTAAAAAGAATTTAATTATGAATTTATAAATAAATAAATCTATATGATTAATTTAATAAAAAATTACATACAAGCTCTTTTGGGCAATTATGTGCAACCATAAAGTCACCCATTATAAAACGACCGTTTGATGGGCTTTCAAGCGTAAAACCATAATATCTCCCATGTTTATATGGTTTGCAAGTAAATCCTTGGTTGAATGTAATGAATTCCAAATCACAAAATTCTGCGCTCTTTTCCTTCTTCAATTTACATTTAATATCTTCAGTTCCTAAACCACCAATATATAAAAGTATTGTATTGTGAGATTTTGTCTCAAGTTTTGGGTTATCATTGTATGAATATCCAACTGAATTCAATCCTAAAGATCTAGCTACATGTCTTGCAAGCTTTATACATGACACGTCAACTTTTTGGTCAAATCTTTGAAGAATGCTGTAATGACCATCAATATCATCATCAAAACAATAAGAACCACTTGAATCGGTTAGCCCACCAAGTAGATTCTCTCTAGATGATTTAGACTGAGTAGCGAGTCCTACAATAAGATCTTGTGTACAACTTTTTGTTTCAGCAATTCCCAACTCTAGTAGTATTTGCCAAAAAATATTGTATTCTTTTACAGATGATTTTTTATAATTTGCAGTAAATAAGCCAAACCATCCAAAATGCAATACCTGATCTAAATCATCCAAACTTAAAGCTGAAACTTCGTCTGCACTAAGAACTAAAAGATTCAAATTGTTTGCGATTCTGTTGAGCTCAAATTGAAGTTCCTTGTATTCATTATCATCAGATGCTATTGATTGCATATTAAAGCTTTCGCTGCCAAGCCAAAAACCAATCAACCAACATAAATCTTCCACTGAAATTCGTTGATTGTGTTTCTCATTTCCTGTTTTCAAATACGCATTCTCGATTATTTGTTCCAGATCTAATACAGATTCTGCCCATTCAACAAGAGGCGAACGATAAAGGACCATGATATTGGCCAAATGAGGGTACGTTTTTTTCCATTTAAGATATTGTTTTACAGTAACCTCCCAAGTAAATGCTGGATATAGTTTACTTTTTATATTTGGACGCAAAACAAGAATATGATTCTCGTTACAAACAAATCCATCTTCATCAAAGATTGAATCTTTGAGAGGCAATATTTTATTCTCGTGTGCACAAGTATCATTTATTTTGATGTAATGCCCAAATTGTTCTTTGATCAAATATAATTGTCCTTCGTTACTAACTGTATGCACAACTTTATATCCGATATGGTTTTCGCCAAGGACTTTATCACCTATCTCAATATTTTGAACCATTTTTAGCGAACCGTTCTTCAACATTACTGGTGTATTTTCTCCAAAGCAGTAGAAGACAACACAAGGAAATCTACTTGGCATTTTTGAATTGAGACCAATTTTAATACGAGTTTGAATCTTGTTTTCGGCTTTTACAATAATATCCAATAGTTCTTTGGTATGAACAACTGCCTCCCTGAAATAACTCATCAACCCAATAAGACAAGTGTTCCATTTATTGCTAATTTTTGAGAATGTAGTACTACCAGAACTCATCAAAATTTGACGGACACGATTGTGGAATTTCTGCATTGATTCTTCATCAACACGTAAAAATGCCTGAGCAGTTCTCTCTTTTGTTTGTTCATTAATCAAATTCCAAACACCATCTTTTAGAGTAAATTCTTCATTGATACTTCTGATTTTTGGAAGAATTCTGACTTCAAACCCACACATTGAAAATAAAAGATTAGGGTTGTCTTTGGAGTAGACGCTACAAAAAGTATCTTCCCATTCAATAGTCGTAAGTGAGCGTGGCAATCGGTTTTTTATGTCCCAAAATACTGCCCTTCCTGCATTTACATCACTCTTAAACAATCTCATCCTACAATCTCTTGGCCAACATTTTTTGTTATTATATCCTACAATATTTTCTGAATTAGGATCAGGATGTTCAGTTAAATAACGTTGTATAAGATCTCTTGCCTCATCAGCGCTAAATCGGAAAAAGATATGAATTTTGTCTATATAACGACAATACAATCTTATTGGATGTCTAGTTTCTGTAGCAACGTCACGATATTGTAAGAAATCATTTGGCATATGTGGTGGCCCAGCCATTTCAGAAGCTCTTTGCAAACCAAGAACCAACAAATCAAGAATTAAACCATAATATTGGAATATAAAACTTGCAAACTGCAATCCACGTATTAAGCCATATGCATTAACATGATTCATGTCCTTATAATTAAGAACAACGTTGTTTTTTGCTGTCATATAATCTGCTAAATTGTGATCCAATATTAATCTTAATAATCTATTCAATAGAGTCAAATCAATCTTTTCATAGACTTTGCTGAATTGAGTCTCCATCATGACATTTATTTGACCTTCTGAAGTGTCCCATACATCTGTTAAATTATTAATTCCTTGACAGAATCTAACATCAATAAAACAAAATAATTAATAATGATTAATTTAAATAAAATTTTTTTTTTAAATTTTATATGCTTACTTGTATACCAATAATGGTGGTGGTTCAGTATCTGAAGGCTTAATCCATGCCTGAATTTTCCAAAGTTAAAATATCATTAGTAAAATAAATTATTCAAAAATTATAAATATATATAATGATTACGATTACTTACTGGAAATAGGTTACGCTTAGTTCCTTCATACCACAAGTACTGATCAAGATACGCATCAGTAATCTTTTCAAGTGGTTCAACATCAAACACAGGAATCAAATGAGAGTATAAATCCATAAACTCAATCCCGACTTCTTTAAATGCACGTTGAGTTAATAACAAACGTTTTATACGACTTAAAGCTTCATGAGGATTGTCATATGCTATTTAAAAAATTACATTGAAATGATATATAAATAATCAATTTATTCTATCAATTAATCAATTTAAACAAATTCTTCAAATAAAAAATAATGTACCTTGTTCAATATATCCCAATTCTTCACGTTGACTCTGATTAAGCCTACCCTTGACACTATAAGCTTCTTTTAATCTTTCAAGAGCCAAAATTAATAATTTTGTGTCATGTTTGTATGATAATGGTGGGAAAGGTATAGGAGAAAATTTTCTACTTTCTAACCAATGAACTGTTGAAGTATAAATAGCAACAGCTTCTTCTGCAGTAATATAAGGACCATCTTTAAGATAATTATGTTGACGTTCTTGCTCAGCTTTCAGCCACAAACGTGTTAAACGTCCAAGATTTTTCTTGCAAACAGTTTTGTCAACAGTTGCACCTCTTCGAATTCTTTCACGATTATAATGAGCGACACTTGTCCACCAATCAGCTTTGCTTTTAACATAACGTAAAATCATATTTTCAATTGGTTTAGGCATGCCAACAATATGCCATGGAACATTTGCTTTCCAGCATCTCCAAGCTTCACTTAAATGTTGCAAAATGGTCTTTGATTTGTTTGCTTTGATTCCTTCAGGCATCATATCCAATATATCATGCATAACTGCTGCACGAAGTTCAAGATCATAATGAGATTCAACACGTTGTTTGGTTACAGTCTTGGCTATACCTTTAGAATGACGACCTTCGAAATGACGGTGAACTTTGGTCGCTTAACAATTATAGAACGGACATGATTCAAGCATTAGGTGGTGTTGAAGGAATTTTAG